TGAAGCTCCAGATGTTGTTATGTCCTCCTGAAGCTCTGGAGTTTGAGGGCTCAGCATCTCATCTGTTTCTAGGACTGAGGTCTTCTGGACAGAGGCTCCAGATGTGGTTCCTGACCAGTTTGGGGGGGGGGGCATTGTACATGTGCTCTGTAGAACATCACAGACGAATAAAGATTTGAGGTTATGTAGGAAATTAAATCTCTTCTGTCGTTTTCAGGGAAAAAGACTTGACTTCAAAATGCATCATCAAGATGGAAGGAACCAAAACCTCCATCACTAACCTCAAGGTTTGTATCCATCTGTTAATCCTCGTGTTCACATGAGCTGTAAAATCGATCTGAACGTATCTGAACTTGTGATGTTTTCATCTCTGACTCCTGAAGATTCCCGATGGCGTCACCGGAGATTCGATGAGAGACCGAACCAAAACCTTCACGTACGACTTCTCCTACGACTCCACCGACTGTAAAAGCTCCACGTTCGTTTCTCAGGAAAAGGTAAACGTCAGTTTTTGACTCCACAGTGAAACTACATTTTAAATTTGATGTAGAAATGTGTGAGATGATCAAAGTCACATTTCCTGACACCTCTCTTCTCCGTCATGTTATTTAGAACCATGACACGTCCATGGTTACATGGAACACGTCACGTCAGACAAAACCAACGCTTCTTTTCACAAAGTGTGTAAATGATGCGTGAACAGGATGAACTCCACCTCCACATTGGAGTGAGCATGCACGAAGATAGCATTTTAGCATAATAAGTCCCCTGATAACACCATATAAGGGGCTTCACTTCCTGCTCATTCATGAAAATGACACCAATGAGTAAAAGAGGAACTTTCAGAGATGCAGAGGAAAATCGTTATCAGAGTCAGAGATGGAATTAAGAGACTAACTGTTAACCCTGCGTCACCTGTAGGTGGCACTGTCACTGAAATTAAGAAGAAAAGTTTGGTATGAAAATGGCTTTAAAACATGTCATCACAACGAGGAGCAGGAGGAGCAGGAGGAGGTGCAGCTAACGTCACTGATATGGATGAAAACAAACGTGTAGCTAGAGATGTTCCACTGACATGTCTTCTGCTGCTGGATCAGTGGATCAGCTTCATCCATCACATTATTACCCAACATGCAGCATGTTTCCATAATCTCTGCCGCGTGGAGCAGCCACCAGCTGACAACATCGACTGTGCTCTGCCACAGCACAAGCACACGTCTGCAGTTTAAATAGAGCGTCAATCACTCTGAGAAAATATTTTTATAAATTATAGGCAAATGATCCAAAAATATCGTCATGGTGACAACTCGTCTGACAAACTCTCTAACGAATGAAAACACTTCCTGTTTCATCCGCAGGTTTTCAGAGATCTGGGCTCCGACGTGCTGAAAGCTGCGTTCGAGGGCTACAACGCCTGCGTCTTCGCCTACGGTCAAACCGGCTCGGGGAAGTCCTACACCATGATGGGAAATCCAGTGAGAACAAAGTCCAGATGAATTTTAACAGTGACAGTCTAGAAGCTGCTATCTAGAAAGACATCAGAGTGAGATACGACGCTCTGGTGTTCACAGCTTCGTGTTGTAACACAGGTTCAGTGTTGGTAAATGACTGACGGCTTCCAAGTGTCAAAGGTCACAGTCCGGCTGGTGTGTGTGTGTGCGGTTATGTGAGCTTCCACTCGTATGTTCGATCTTATCTACACGGCTCTGAGGTGCATTATCAGCTGGACAGACAACGAGCAGTTGATCATCGACTCTATTGATTAACAAAGCGCTTCACAGAGAACAGGAAGTGGGGATTCAAACATGGACACAACACATTTCATGTAGCTGAAGCTTTTATCCAAAGCAACTCACAATAAGTGCGTCAACCACGAGGGACAAACCCAGAACACCAGCTTCAGAAAGCCAAACTTCAAAGAGCACAAAGTTTCAACACGTTCCCACTTGATGTTTATGTGAAATGAGTGAGATCATCTCACAGGTTCAGACCTGGTGTGAACCATGTCCGGTTCAACCAGAGGAAGATCTGAACAGGACTGTGGATAATTACAGCTCTATTTGCGTCTGCTCAGGAGTCATGATAACGTTCATGCTATCGCTTTTCAGGGCGACGCAGGTCTGATCCCGAGGATCTGTGAAGGTCTGTTCAGCCGCATCTTGGAGGCGACTCGATGGGATGAAGCGTCGTTTCGTACAGAAGTCAGGTGAGACCAGAATGAAACAGTTTCACTTCATATTGTGATGAATGTACATTTAGCTGTTCACACATCAGGTCACTCAGGTCAAACCTCCACTAACCGTCTCTTTATGAAACCACATTTAAATTCACTAGATCCAGATTTTTATTTGGATCAAATCACAGACACTCATAAATATCCGTCTCTAGCGTGTCTGATTATTCTTCATGAAATTAGAGAAAGTCTTCAAATACACTTCATGTCACGATGTTAAACAAAGATAAAGAACTCCTGGGTCTGTCCGCTGCTCCAGACGAGTTCTCCGGGTCGTGTCCCTCCCCTCATTGTCATGGAAACCAGTTTTTGGGTAATCCCACAAACAAACAAACAAACAGGTGAAAACAGGTAATAATGACTCAGCTCTGTCCAACATATCATTTCTACAACTTGTGTAAATGCTGCTGTGAGATTAGGTCAGAGCTTTCTAGACCAATCACAAGAGACCTCAGAGGTCACGTGTGTCATCACTGATGACGTTTGCATGGACAACAATAATCTGATTATTAAAAATAGTCTGAATAATAAACCCACTTGATTGTTGAGTTGTTAAAAGAATATTTTCTGGAGCTAACGTTGTCTGTCTAAGCTCCTCCTTACTTTTCATCTTGTTTACACTTGATGTCGGGATTATTTGTCATTTGTCAAAGTTAAACTGTGAAAACTCCAACAGGACGTTATGAGATTAAGACGTAAACATGTCCACATGACTGAAGTCAGAAGTCTCCACTTGATGATTGATTATTCAGAGTCTGATCTTAGTCCGGTTCTGTTAATCAGAACATCATGTTTACATGTCAGATTATTGTCTTAATCTGGTTCATATTAAAATATTGTTTCCACAGAAATGTTGTCACTGTCGACAGCCGCACGTTGTGATGTAAACATTCGAAAACATGAGACTGGTGTTAATGTTGTGTTTTTTATTCGTGGCCTCAGTTACCTGGAGATCTACAACGAGAGGGTGAGAGATCTGCTGAGGAGGAAATCCACTCAGACCTACAACCTGAGAGTCAGGGAGCATCCGAAAGACGGACCGTACGTTGAAGGTGAACCTGTGACCTGTGATCTGTCCTCAACAAAACTCAAGTCCGTCTTCAGGGAATCTCTTCACATTTTGACCAGTTGATAAACAGATTAGATCTCAGAGGTCAAAGGTCACAGTGAAGAGTGTAAATGAGGACGATGATTCGAGTTGAGTCTGTGAAGACAACGACGTCGTTACAAACATGAATCTACAATGATAATCGAAACAGTCATTACAAAAATCTAAACATTAATAATTATCTGAACATTTCTAATAGAAATCTGATCACTCATTCTAATAATCTGATCCTGTCGGAGGTAAAGAACGTTCAGTACAAACCCCGACTTTGGTTTTATTTCCCTGCAGCAGCTGATTCACAGGGACCAGATAAACTGGTTTTACTCAACGAAAGATTTTTGACTTGATCGTTAAAACCAAGAAAATGAAAATAGAATAAATATAAAGAAAAGCCCTGTGTTCCTGTGTCCACCTTTTATCTTAGATCTTTCCAAACACCTGGTGCAGAACTACAGCGACGTCGAGGAGCTGATGGAGGCCGGAAACATCAACCGCACCACAGCCAGCACCGGCATGAACGACGTCAGCAGCCGCTCACACGCCATCTTCACCATCAACTTCACGCAGGTCAGGCCGATTCTCCGACCTCACAGTCCATAATTTAACTGATGATCGGTCATGTTGACAAATTGTTTCCTGTAGAAACAAGGAATTAAAGAAATAAATTGTTTCAGGCAAAGTTTGATGCAGAGATGCCGAGTGAAACAGTCAGTAAGATTCACCTGGTCGATCTGGCCGGTAGCGAGCGAGCAGACGCCACCGGAGCCACTGGTGTCCGACTGAAGGAAGGAGGGAACATCAACAAGTCACTGGTCACCCTGGGCAACGTCATCTCTGCTCTGGGTCAGAATCACACACCCTTTTCTTCTTCTGCTGCACTCACACAAACTCAGCTGACTGCGTTTCCTGTTTCTGTGCAGCCGACATGACGCAGGCTAGCGCGAACACCAACCTGAAGAAGAAGTCTGTGTTTGTTCCGTACAGGGACTCGGTGCTAACATGGCTACTCAAAGACAGCCTGGGCGGCAACTCCAAGACCTTCATGATCGCCAGTGAGAAACAAACCTTTCATCCATTTCTAATTTAATATTAACTTTTTCAAAGTGTTACATTTAATTCTGTGAAAATCTTTTCCTGTCGCAGCCGTTTCCCCGGCGGACGTGAACTACGGCGAGACACTCAGCACTCTGCGCTACGCCAACCGAGCAAAGAACATCATCAACAAGCCGACCATCAACGAGGATTCCAACGTCCGGCTGATCGGAGAACTGCGCGCTGAAATTGCTCGACTGAAAGCTCTGCTGGTTCAGGGCAACCAGGTGAAATTTCAAATACTACGGAGCGTGAAGAGCCGGTCATTACCTGTAGGAGGCGCTGCTGCTGCTTTTACAGCTTCTGTGTTGTTTGGAAATTAAAGTGGAGGAGGAGACGTGACGATGAAACAAACCTGAGCTCATCTTCTCTGTTTCAGATCGCGCTCCTGGATTCACCCACCGCTCTGAGCATGGAGGAGAAACTGCACCAGAACGAAGCCAGAGTGAGTCCGACGTCTCACCGTGTCGTCGCACGTTTAACCCCACGCTCAAACTCTCCTGTTACAACAGAACTCAGTTTAAAGGTTCAGTGTGTGGAATGTAGTGACATCTAGTGGTGAAGTGTCACATTGCAGCTGAATACCCCCCCTTCCAAACATGACAGAGAACCTGTGGCAGCTCCAGTTGTCATAGAAACTCAAAAGGTTTAGTTTGTCCAGTTTGAGCTTCTGTAAAAACATGGCTGCCTCCGGATTATTTAAAAAAAAAAAAAAATTTGATTTCTGCCAATAGATCGTTTCACCTAAGTCTGACACACTGGACCTTTAATTCTGACTCAGATAATCAGTTTATTTTGTAATTCTCTCTTTCAACATAATTCAAAGAATTCATGAGAACATTACAATGAGGATGATTCACATCTGCAGCGGGACAGAAGGTCATGTGTTCTGTGTGGTCCGTCTGTTTGCAGGTTCTGGAGCTGACGAAGGAGTGGACCAATAAATGGAACGAGACCCAGAACATCCTCAAGGTTTGTTCACGTTCACACTCGTGGATATTTTACAGAACAAACCTTTTTCTCCGCAGTTCTCAGATTTTGTTCGTGTTTGTCACATGATCATTCATGTACAGTGGTCATGTGATGTAAACAGGAAGTAGAGTGTCTCCTCTGCAGTTGGTTGCTTTGTGAAGAGTCAGAGCGTGATCTCTTTTCTCTGAGCGATGACGAGGTGGAACTGTTCCTGACAGGAAGTGCTAGTGACGCTTTGTGTTCACCGCTGGTAGTCGAGTCACGTGACTGATGAGAACCAATCAGAAGAGAACGTGGGCGCCATCGTTTACTAAAGTCTCAGTTTCGGTTCAGACTAAAACACAAAACCAGAGTTTCAAACTCAGCGTGGACTCACTTAACTGTTGGACTCAAACGCTGAACAGTGGATGTGAAAATGCTTCTGCAGGAGGAGACTCTGGCTCTGAGGAAAGAGGGCATCGGCGTGGTGTTGGACTCGGAGCTGCCTCACCTCATCGGCATCGACGACGACCTCCTCAGCACCGGAATCATCCTGTATCACCTGAAGGTCAGAAATCAGACTGCGTCCACCTGATCTCAGATCAGATCATCCATTTAATTAAATTTAACTGGAAAACAAAGATGAAACTTCCTGAAACATTTCCTCAACCTTTACTTCTCATGTCACAGATGGTAGAAAGAGTTGACCTGAGCTGAGTGAAGGGTCCTGTTGTCTCAGACATTTTCTGTTTTCCTTCGTCCTCAGGAAGGACGGACATACGTGGGCAGAGAGGACGCGTCCACAGAGCAGGACATCGGTGAGTGAATCTTAAATAAACCTGAACTTAGAATTAAAGTCATGTGGTCGTTTATTAGTCAGAGGTTGAAATCCATCCCTCATCTATACTGGTGAAGCTTCAAGAGTTGAGGGGGGCTGAGTCCACCCCAGCTGATATCAGACGACAGGCAGCTACAACCTGGACAGATCGTCAGTGTCACACACATGTTCCTCACATGTTCCTCACATGTTCCTGGCATGATCCTCACATGTTCCTCACATGTTCCTCATACACACACTGGTTACACAACATGTCCACACAAACAGTTGGTTTTCGTTGTAACAGTCTGATGACACAATGTTCTTCCTCCTTCAGTCCTTCACGGTCTCGACCTGGAGAGTGAACACTGCATGTTTGAGAGTCAGAGCGGTACGGTGACCCTGGTGCCTCTGGGTGGAGCTCAGTGCTCTGTTAACGGGGTTCAGGTGACGGAGCCGTCGCAGCTCAACCAAGGTGAGAAGTGAAAACCAATCGTTGGTCTCAAAGTCACTTTAACCCTTTAACAGCTGAGTCATGTTCAAACCTGAGGGTTCTTTAAAATCATCTCCTGAGAACGTTTACACAAACTTTCATTTCTCAGCCTCTGGAGCAGAAACATGAAATAAAACCAAAGAACAAAGATAATCATTTAAAATAAAATACAAATAAAGAAAAGCTCGTATTCAGTTTTATTTGTATAGCATCAAATCATAATATACATCATCTCATATGTTTTTTATGTCTGTGTTGGCGACATCATTTTTTCACGCTGTGCCTCATTGTCGTCTCAATCGAGCACCTTGAGGGATCTTCAGATTTAGAACAAATGTTCACTTAGATTCCCATGATGCAGGCGTGTTTTCTGAAATGTTTGTTCTGTCATCGTCCAGGCGCCGTTCTTCTGCTCGGGAGGACAAACATGTTTCGGTTCAACCATCCGAAGGAGGCGGCAAAGCTGAGGGAGAAACGAAAGGTTTGTGTTGGAGGATGAAGACTTCAAACATCAGAGAGATAAGAACGAGCTATGACCTTCAGTCATTAATGACCTGTGACCTCTGACCTTTACCAGAGCGGCCTGCTCTCCACCTTCAGCCTGTCGATGACGGATCTGTCCAGGTCGTGTGAGAACCTGTCGACTGTGATGCTCTACAACCCCGGGTGAGTGACCATAAAAACATCTGCATGAGCTGATCAGCTCTGAACCAGCTCTGCACCCCCCCTGCACCCCCCCTCCCCCATGACTGACTGAGCGTCTGATGGACTCGGTGTCTCTGCACCGAGGACCAACAACAAATACCAGAAACATTTCACACTGTTCATGCAGAAGAAAGAGGATTTGTAGTTGAGACATCTTTCAGATAAAAGTCATGTTTATTAAACAGTGAACAGTTTTCATCAGAGACACTTCTCTTCTTCTCAGTGTCCTTTCATCCGTCTCCACCAACCGGTCCAGTCAGATCTACACAAACCTCCTCTGAAAGATGAGAAGTGTCTGAGCTTATCTCCAGGGTTGAACCCTGCTGGTTATCGTGTGCCCTCTGACCTTTGCCCCCATCAGAGCTAACTGTGGCTAACTGAAGAATCATTGTACAGGTTCAACCTCAGATTAGTTAGGTTGTTTACTTCTAGATCATTTTATTCGGGATGATCCTGTGACGGAGCAGAGGTGTTTGTAGTGTTCTGTTTTCTGTGTTAACGTTGACTCTGTCCACCCTGTCCTGTCGACAGTCTCTTCACTGAGAAGGGCCCCGTCTTCCTCAGGTAGACTCAGTCGTCCACTTTCTGTCTTCACTGTCCCGTTGTTCTCAGAGATGTGTGTCGACTTGTTTTCTCTCTCAACCTGATTCCTCGTCCTGTTGTTTTATTTCTGCACGTCATCCTGCTGCTTCTGTTCGACGCCTGAAACTAGAAAACTCATCGTTGCTTTTATTGCCTGGCTTTTCATTGCAGCTCGTTCCTCATCTCATGCGTCCAGTGCTGTTTCTACTCACTGTGCTTGTCGTGGTGTCCGATGTGTGATGTGTTCTGTCTTCTGACGAGGTGAACGTGAGCTGATGGAGGATCTGTTATTTTCCCAGGTTGGAGTTTGAGAGGCAGCAACGAGAGGAGCTGGAGAAACTGGAGCTCCAAAGGTAGAAGAGTCATTTTGACTCAAATGTGTTGATTTCAGTTTCCAGCCGGTGGATGTCAGTGGGTGGATGTCAGTAGGTGTGGGTGGATGTCAGTGGGTGGATGTCAGTAGGTGGATGTCAGT